TCTTGGCGTCAATCATTGGTTCGAACAACGGTTCTTAAAAATACTACAATTTTGAAAATCATTTTTAAAAACTAATGGACAGCAGAGAGTTTAAATGCATGTATAGCTCACGATTCATGACTCTTAACTCATTAAACAATGTCCAATTTGAATTAGAAATTCCAACAAAAATTTCTTCAATATGAAACAACAATTTAAGAAAATAAAAAAAAAATATTCATCAAAAATGATGAGAAAAATTTCTTTTATTTCTCATATTTTAATGCCATTCAATGACGAGTGAATAGGCAGTAAAGTTTATTTTTTTATTTTCATTCCTTTTGTTAGTCGAAGAAGCATTTTTAATGGAATTTTATAATTAATCATAAAATATGGCGCGACAAGGGGTAGCATATAATAACAATACATAGCGAAAAAAAAATTGATTGGAAAATGAGATTGAAATGAAAACGAATTTTTTTTTTGTGTGATTGAGAGTTTGAAAATAAACAATAGATGAAGGAGAAAGGGGAAATGAAAAATTGGAAATTGCTTTTCTTTTGTTATCGCGAACATCGAAACATAAAAAAGAAGATGGAAAAAAAGTTGAGTTTGTAAGAAAAATTGATAAAATTTCCATTTGATAAATTTCATCTTTTTTTTCCCGTGCATTAAAAATGAGATTTTTTTTTTCATCTTCATGTGAATAAACAATCACATAAATCTGAGGAAGGAAGGAGCAAACAAAAAATGAGAATTTTTTTATAATAAAAATTTTTTAAGTAACCAAGCATGTCATGACGATATAATCCTACAAAGCATGACAGCTCTATGACGGGTCTTAAACCACTAATATCTGTTTTGTGGATACGAAAAAAATGCGAAATAAACATTTCATTCTTTTGAGCTAATGTTGTTGCTGTTGCTGCTTCGGGTTTTTAGTGCAAAAGAATTTGTGGAATAGCTGTGTGTCTGCATCATTTTTCATTGGAGATTTATAACCTGAATTCCAGTGTTCTATCTAATTTTAGGTTTTAGGGATGTTGTTTCCTAGAATTATTTGGCACCTTAGCTTATAGCCACCATATATACCAACTCACAATTATCAAGCAAGTTATCCTACTTTGAAAATAGCTAAGAAATGCAAAGAACATCAATACGGACGGTTTATCAAAGTTTAAAAAATAGAAAAAATTTTGGGAATTTGATGTAAGTTTTGCAATTTATTAAACAACTTTTTCCAGGTTCGGAAACTAGGCGGTATTTTAAAGGCGGTATTTCATATAAAGAGGTGGTATTTGGGGGTATTTAGTGGTATTTGTATGGTATTAAGCGGTATTTAGGGGTTTTTGTAAAGAAGTTGGAGGTATTTGGCAGTATACCACCTAGTTTTCGAGCCTGGACTTTTTCTTATATTTGAATTTATTGGAAGGACAAAAATGAACCCCCGTTCTCCATGTTGTTCGCCACTGATCCTTTTAATTAATATTTTGGCACTATTTATTAAAGACTTACCGTATCCGGGTTTTCCTTGGTTTTTTAACCGGGTTATCATGGGTTTCTACAGGGTTTTGGTATGGTATGGGTACACCAATGCTAGGTTTAGATATAAGACTGTTCCATATTAGGTATGGCCACTGTAACATATCAGGTGTACCACATACCGTCTTAGTACGGTAGACAGCAATCGGGTCCTAATTTTGAGTATTTTGATTCCAACATACCAGAACATTCTACCATCACCCATGAGTCCAGTATTTTTTTGGGGCGAGAGAGGGTGGGGGGGGGGGGGGGTTGTAGCTTAGGATTTATGTCTTAAATATGATATTCGTTTCAGTAAACAAAAACCAAATAGTTTGAACAAATAGATTCAAATTTTAAACAATAATTTGAGAAGAAAAACAGTTTCATCGATAGAACTGCCAGAACAGCGTCTAACTTCACCCACCACTTAGTAACTTCCCAACTATACTTTTTTTTGTTTCCCGAACAATGTTGAAAAATGAATTTATTTTGTGCCGAGTGCCATGTACGTCTTACCATATAATATTTAATTACTTTTGATTAATGATCTGATGGTAAAACCGAAAAGAAAACAAAAGCATAAAGAAGGAATATCGTCGTCACTGTTGATGCTCTCTCTTTCTCCTTTCTGTGTGTATTTGGTTTTGTTTATTTATATAAACACACGGATAAAGTCAAGTCAAGAAGCAAAATAATCATAAAACTCATAAAAACAGAAGGGGAAGTGATGAAAAAGTTTGATCTTCTTATCAACATAAAATAGGATCAAGAAAAATTAAGCAAGAAAAGAAAAAAAATATTCCATGTATCATGCTGCTATAGATATAGATACGATGGTTAAGATGGTGATGGATAAGTAAAGAAAAAGTGTGAGGAAGATAATCCATCGCAACGTCAAATTTACTGTTAAAAAGATGGCAGAAGAAGGACGAATTACATTAACATCTTGTTCCAAAAAAAAAGCTGATTAGGAGCTTAAAGTTTTTTTCTTCTTTTTCTTCCTCCTGCCAATTTCACTTCTTTGTTTTTGGCCTCAAGCAAATTTGTTTAGTCAAAAGTGCGATACGCGTTCGAAAGAAAATGAAAAGTTTTTTCTTTACGTTTCTAAATTACCGAGAAAATCTTGTTAAATGAGAGGTAAGCGATGGATATTTCCCCCTGGAAAATTGCATTTAGTCGAGACCGGCTCATTAAAATTCGAAAGTTTTTCTTGGAAATTTTTTTATTGGGTTATTTTTTGTGTGGATGATGGAAATTCTTGGTGTTTTGTGTACTTAGTCGAGGGGCAAATTCAGCTGATAATCTAATTTATGATTCTGAATAGTTAATTGTATTATCAGATAGAGAAGATGTAGTACGTACTGTAATTTATAAAGCAATTATAAAGAGTCGTTTAGAAATGACGTTTATCGTAAAATTGGGTTGTTTAGAACCCCCTCCCCACCTCCCCTTCTTATCAAACGTTTGATGGCAAAATTGAATTCAAACTGAAAGAATAATCAAGGAGACGATGAACGTGTTCTAACGAGAGCTATTAGTACGCTGAAGTAGTAAAGTCATATGAGTCTAGCTCTAGATAGATGCATGGAAGCTTTGCAATAATGCATTCCAAGTTGTTTTTGAGGAGAATCATTCAAATTCTCTAATTAAGTCTTACATCACGAACAGTGTTGCAAATGTAGATGTCTACACTAGATGAAGAATGTAGATTCTTCAATAGTTTTTGTCTGAGACAGAAATTTCTTCATAAAGATCGATTCTATATGAAGATAGAAAATCTAATCTACACAAAGATTATTTCTACATAAAGATTCTGTCTACATAAAGATTCGATGTAGATGTCTATAATTCTACATTCTTCTCTGATGTAGACCTGGAAAAAATGTAGAATTGTAGACATCTACATCGAATCTTTATGTAGACAGATTCTTTATGTAGAACTAATCTTTGTGTAGATTAGATTTTCTATCTTCATATAGAATCGATCTTTATGAAGAAATTTCTGTCTCAGAATTTATCTGATCCAGACAAAAGGCCAGAATGCAACACTGATCACGAACTGATCCATAGATTAGTGCCACATCAAATTATATGATTAATTAATACATAACTGCTGTCTATGGAATAAGTTAACAAATGTGTAAATATATTTGAGGCTGATCCACTCTCAGTTGGACACAGATCTACAAATTCGAACCCATAAAGACGTATGACAGTAGGAATATAGTGGCATAGCCTTAATTTGGCATAAAGTAGCTCTAAATAGTCTGCATTATTGGTTTTATTGACACAATGGATCTCACGAGGCACCCAGGACTTCACATTTTTGAAAGAAAATATCAAACATTCAAAATGTCTTTCCAGGAAGATCCAGACACAAAAAAAAAAATTCAGTCATTCCAAAACTTCAAAAAAAAATTATTATTTAAATAAGTTCAAATAATCACATTTCATCACTGAAATGCTTCAAAATAATAAAAAGACAGCCATTATAAAAATTTCTTTTGAATCATCATCGTCGTCATTAACGTCTTCATGTACGTCGTTCACTGCAATGCAAACAACTTCTGAAACAGCTTAAGTAATTCTCACCAGGCACTTGCAACGTTCCCATGTCGACAATTTAAACTAAATATCACTCGACGAATACGAAATTACACATAGCATTAAAAAATTTCCTCCTTTCTGCTTTTTGGGGGTTGATAAGGAATGATGTACAATATTTTTGGGGATTTAGGATCACTCTAGAGGGGTCTGATAGATTGTGGAAAATAAATTTTAATTTTAATTTGGTAAAATTATTGTTGAATAATTCTGAAAAGCTTAACATTCGATAGACGTCATTTATAAACGACCCGTTTTCTTCCTCCCGAAAAAAGTATATATTTAAGAAGTTTGGAACGAGAATAAGAAAAATATACACTCGAATTATTTTATTTAACTTAACTCAATGTCTCCATGCATTTAATACCGTTTGTCGAAATAATTGAGAGAGAAATAAAAGCAAAAAAAAAGATTCATGAGAAGCAATAGAGATTGAAAATTCCCCCGTAGAGTTACAGCTTAAGCTGTTTATTTCAAGCAAGGAATAAAGAAAAAAAAATAAACTTTATCTTCCGCCTTTCTTCTATTTATCTTTTCCATCGTCTTTATTTCATGACAGAAATTTTTTTCAGCAAACGAATAAGCAAGTAAAGGATGAGGGAATCGAAAGCAACTTAATCATTGTTTTGATGTTAATTTATGGCATCATTGAGATGTGTTTAAGAATTTTGGAGATTTATTTTGACATTTTTGAATTGACATCTTATGATGTGGTAAGAATTATGAGGGTATGACTTTTTTGAGATTCGAACCTATGAAATTTGAATCAATGTGCACTAATTAAGCATCTAGTCACTAAAGCACTAGACCACACAGCCACTTCTGCTCTCATTTAACAGCATGCCTAAAATCAATAATAAAACCACAAATTTGATTTCAGAATTCTTTATTCCATCCATTGCTACTTAAACTCTGGTTTCCGTCACAAAATACACACAAATTTATAAATAATTTTACAATGCTGCAGCAAGACCAATTGATCTTGTCGATGTTTCTATCTTAACACCAGCAACTTTAGTTTCAGCCTTTGGATCAGTACATTCTGTATGGAATGCAAAAGTCTTGGCAAATTTAGAGTTTGGAATGCAGCTATCAACGCTTTGAATGATGAAATCCTTGGTCTTTTGCTTGGCATCTTCTGATAATTTGCAGTACAAATCCTTGTTAATTTCACCTTCTAATCTTTTATTTTCATAGACGACGTTGAGCATAACTTCATCACGTGCATCAGTTTTGAGGAATTCAGCCATGATGCAATCAAGTTCATCTGCAGTTTCCTTATTTCTAGCAAACAAGTCATTGTAAGTCTTTTCAGAAACTGAATGAAATTCATGAACAAGTTGTTCACAGTCAGCAAAATTAGCTGATATGGGTGATGATGATGGACTGTAAGCCTCACTGAAGAAATTTTTCGATTTTAGGTAGTTGATGTAGCAATCGATTTTACCAGATGAAACTGATGGAGCTGGGCTGATGAATGGAGCAGCGACCAGGATGAAGAATGCAACTTTAAATGCCAACATTTTGAATTATTTTAGATTAACTTGTTGATTTGATGAATACTGAAGTTGAAGTGTGACTTACTATTCCAAATCAATGGCTATTTATACTGTTCTAGATCTTGACAGTCATTAGAAAATAAGTCTAAAGAAAATTCTCTCACATTCGCAATTCAAGTCAATCGGAAATCATCTTTTATGCACGTTCCTCATTTCCCGTGCAATTATTCTTTATGAAAAATTTTAAAAAGCGAGAAATGCAGCATTTCAATAAAGTAAATAAACAAATTTATCTGAATATGTGTCAAATATTGAATCAATTCACAAACGTATGTACGCACATGTCACATGATATGTGAATAAATCATTTTAATGTTCCGAAATGAATTTTTGCAGTATTTTAGCATAATTTATTGGATGTTTGAGAGGGTTTTTGGATGTTGTTTTGGGAACGAAGCTTTGAAAATAGTTGAAGGGTTTAGAAATTGCCAAATATCAGCTCTAAAATCTAGAACACAAAGACGATTGGTTGAAAATGACTCAAAATTGTTTAAACTTAGTCAAAAAACTAGTCACATGAGTCGACTCAAGTCAAGGCACCTTCTTAGACTTATTGCTTATGTATACTTATGGGGTGCAATTTATCCAGCTGGTAAGCAGGAGGAATCTAAGAATATTAATGCTCTAAGTTAATTTAAGCGACAAACCAAGTCAACGACCCCATTTCATATAACTTACTTACTTTCTTCGATGACCTTACCTCAGATGCCGCCTAAAACTAGGGTGACCATCTGCGTAGTTTTACAACGGACAGTCCTGTATTTCAAAACCCTGTCCTGTATAAATTTGAAAACTTTGTTCCAGGTCCTGTATTTTTTTCACGAAAATTTCCGTTAATTTTCGAATTTTACTCTGTGTCCTGTATTTTTCGAAAAAATTTACCAAAAGTCCTGTATTTTCATGAAAATTAGATGGTTACCCTACCTAAAACTGGCTCTACCGCTTGCCAATTTCCTATACCTAAATACAATACTGTCCATTTCATACAAAACAATCACGCAAAAAAAACTGCGTTCCATTCAATCATAAACAAAATTAATCATTCCACCAGCTTTTCCACTCTACAAAGTAAATATTGCGTGAAAGTTAATTTTATGCAATTTATTGATGATGAAAAGCGTTGCTTGCAGTGTTAATGAATTTTTAAATAATTTGCATGTGTTACCGTTGTGTACATATGAATGAGTGGCTCACATTAATTTTAATTTGCAATGAGCGCGTACGCAAAGCATACACAAAAAATGCAGTAAAATAATTTTTTTGTAAATATTTCATGATCGGGCGTCAATGCAAATTATTGACAAATGTAAATCGATGAAATATTTAAGTGTATTTAATAGAATTTTTAATGCTTTCTGTTGCATTATTTTTTTTATTGTCATTTTTCAATTTTTGTACATTTTCGCTGAATAATTTTCGCATGCATGCATTTTGCAATTTGCAATGAATAAATTTGTATATGTATTAATAATACACGGAATACGTTAATTCAATTAAGTGGCAATCAGTTTTCGACAATGGTGAAAAATTATTATTTTATATTTCGAGAAGAAAGGAATAATTGCAGTGAATGATGATGCACGGTGGAAAATTTAATAAATAAATTCATTATCGAGACTCGGTTTACATCACATTATCATGTGAGAATATCTATCATCCGGCTTCCATAACAAGCTCAGTCACGTTGTGTTATGTATTTAGAAATTTCATTAAAATAATGTCATTTTCATCCACACTTAATGCATGGCTTACTGTACATGAGAGCGTGCATCAAATTTCTATATTATGGTGTGATTAAATGTGTATTATTTGACTTTAGTTAATAGTTGATATTTATGTCAGTTCTGATGAGTAGGTGAAATTATTTAAGACATTTTCTGTTGTGGATGTATGCTGATGTGAAGTATGTTGTCACTTTTGTGCTAATTAATTTGAAGATTTTTATTTATTTGCTGAATTTTTGACTGAATGTGAGAGAATTCGAACTTTTTTTACTAATGACTGTCAAGATCTAGAACAGTATAAATAACCATTGATTTGGAATAGTAAGTCACACATCAACTTAAGTATTCATCAAATCAACAAGTTAATCTAAAATAATTCAAAATGTTGGCATTCAAAATTGCATTCTTCATCCTGGTCGCTGCTCCATTCATCAGCTCAGCTCCATCAGTTTCATCTGGTAAAATCGACTGCTACATCAACTACCTAAAATCCAAAAATTTCTTCAGTGAAGCTTACAGTCCATCATCATCACCTATATCAGCTAATTTTGCTGACTGTGAACAACTTGTTCATGAATTTCATTCAGTTTCTGAAAAGACTTATAATGACTTGTTCGCTAGAAATAAGGAAACTGCAGATGAACTTGATTGCATCATGGCTGAATTCCTCAAAACTGATGCACGTGATGAAGTTATGCTCAACGTCGTCTATGAAAATAAAAGATTAGAAGGTGAAATTAACAAGGATTTGTACTGCAAATTATCAGAAGATGCCAAGCAAAAGACCAAGGATTTCATCATTCAAAGCGTTGATAGCTGCATTCCAAACTCTAAATTTGCCAAGACTTTTGCATTCCATACAGAATGTACTGATCCAAAAGCTGAAACTAAAGTTGCTGGTGTTAAGATAGAAACATCGACAAGATCAATTGGTCTTGCTGCAGCATTGTAAAATTATTTATAAATTTGTGTGTATTTTGTGACGGAAACCAGAATTTAAGTAGCAATGGATGAAATAAAGAATTCTGCAGTCAAATTTGTGGTTTTATTATTGATTTTAAGCATGCTGTTAAATAAGAGCAGAAGTGGCTGTGTGGTCTAGTGCTTTAGTGACCAGATGCTTAATTAGTGCACATTGATTCAAATTTCATAGGTTCGAATCTCAAAAAATGATTTTGTTTGACTTTTGCGAATCTTACCCACTGAAATTCTTAAATCTATACAAAATTCATAAAAATTGAACAAAATCTTCAAAAAATTATTTCAAATTGTAACAAGTCTTTCTAATTCCTCGCAACTTTTCCTATATTATTATCTCAAATTTAATTTAATTCTCCTCGATTACAAACCGTAATTCCACTCATATCACTCGTAAACATTATCATTAGAAAATAACTTGCTGTGTTTTTTGGTTTCTAAAATTTCTTTCTCATGCATGTGTCAACGTTTTATTTTCATTTCACCCTACTTCCTCACATACATATATATGCTTCTCATTTACTCATTTTCCACTCATCTCACCCTCAGAAAAACAAAAATTATTTTTCGTCTTAATTCTTATTCTTTTCTTACGCATCATCAACATCATCCAGATTACATAGAAGAGACATAGAGGAGATAATAAGAAGCAGGAAAATTACAAGATAAAAACGTTTTAATAACATTCTTATGCGACACAAGCAAAACAACAACATAAACGATGAAATATCAACAAGATTTCGTTTCTTTTCTTGCTATTTTTTAATGGTGCAAAAAAGGGGAGGGTTCTGCAGTTTGTCTAGGCACGATTGCAGATTGATTTGGGCATTGAGAAATGTTACTTAGCAATAGACACCAACTTAGCTATGGTTTGTATCTCAATTGACTTCCTAAGTGCCACATTCTTAATTGTTGTTGAAAGCTTGGATTAGAATCAAGCGGTAGCTACTTAGAAATGCCTTTAAATGACCTTATGTTCTATCAAACAGCTATTACTACCCAACCCTTTTATATGAATCGATTTAAGGGTTAGGCGCACCGGTTAGCCCTAGAAATCAATCCTGTGCTTGAATTAGTATTTTTGAAGTCAACCTAAGACCACCTCTCCTCAAAATTATTAACCTATTCAAATCAGCATCCCCCAAATATATACGCCTTATATGCATTCCCACCAGCACTCAAGATTCCCAACTCGATGCTATCTTAAGGGTCTTGTGTACAAACATTTATATGTGTGGCTTTTGTTGTCATTTGACATTGCATGTGTGTGATGACATTCTTCTTTCGAGCTAGGTTCATTTTAGCCTCGTCGCATAAGCTGAGCATTCTCCTCATCATCATCATTTGCCGTTGACGTCGACATCTCCTTTGATTATGAACGAGAGAAGAAAAAAAGAATGGAGAGGAGATTTAAGAAAAGTGTCACATAGTGCAAATAAATGATGTTTTCATTAAGGATTATATGCGATTACTATCTGACTGCTATTACTGTTTGCCGTAGTCTTTGTATGTGTATATAAGTATTTAGATTGTTGTCATTTGGAAGTGCTACGCGTTTTGCTTTTATTTATCATATCAAATCATATTATTATACTATTAATAATAATATTAAACATGCGTGCATGCTGACTATTATGAATTTTGATTTTGATTTTCATTGATGTTAATATAAAGATATCATTCCATTATGGATGGCTATAAAAGACTAGGATTTCAATTAATGCAATATTGCTTTTGGCTATTGTCTCATTTCATTCGATTATATTATTTGATAACAATGTCTGTAGTTTTATTATTTTAAAAGCTTCAACACGAGTCTTTAATTTGTTATGATAATAAGATTTGAAGGAGCTGGGAGGAGGAGCTAGTGTGCTTTAAATTATAGCAACTACCTTAGTTTGATCTGTTTTTGGTAGGATTCGAACGCATGTCTTCATAAGTGGGGTAGAGATTTACCTAATCTTCCAAATAATCCTTAATTTTCCACTGACAGGCTTAGCAACATATGGCTTGATACCTTAAGATCAATGGTCGCCAACCTTTTCTTGAGCCACGGCACATCTTGAAGTTAAACCATGAATGAAACCGCACTCAGCATACGATTCGTGAGATTTTCTGAATTTTTGAAGTCACACTAGTGTGTCGCGGCACATTGGTTGGCCCTTACTGCATTAGATTAAATTTCGATACAATATCAAAGTGGAGGTGCATCCGGTAATGCAGCACATCGAAGCTAAACTCCGAGACACAAGATCCATAAATTAAACTGATATTTGCCAAAAAATAAATTATTTTATGAAAATGTCAAACATTAATACATTATATACACATGTCTTTCACACAGAAGGTACCACAGCAGTTTTATTTTCATTAATCATTCCATATTTATAGCTGCACATACATAAATTGTCTCAAGACTTCATCAATTAACTTTATAAAAAAGCACTTTCTCAAGTCAAAACTTCATCCATAAATTACTTCTGTCTGCATCTCTTTTATTTAAAAAAATTTTATTTCTCCTTCATCATCGTCATCATCATCATCAGCAGGCTCCTGATGAATCGCTATAAATATTGTTTACGTGCCATTATAATGCGTGATTAAGTGAAAATAATTAAATGGAAAAAGTTTTCTTTTATTCACTCAGCTTGCTGTTGCCTGCCTTTTGTTTTCCTCTTCCATATGTACTTTTTTTTGTTGTTATTTGCTACATACGTACGCACAATATAACAACATCAATGGCTGGCTTACTAAGTACAGATGAAGCTAAGGGAAGAAAAGTTTCTGTTCATAATATTAAATGAATGGATTAGGAGTGGATTAAATCCACGAGCTATTGTTATGAGCATATTTTTGTAGCTCTTTTTTTTGTTTGCTAGCTTTAGAGGTAAATTATAGGAAAATAATCGGAATTAAAGATTTATTTTTACTTTTTTTAGTTCATAATAGCAATGAAGAAAAGAGTTTTATTTTTTTCTCATTTAATGGGAGAATTTATGTTTTGGTAAAGCTATGGAATTTAGCTGGAGCTATGTATTAGCAGCAATTGAATTGAATAAAGGTGACCACTTGAGTTTAAACCTAGTTGAAGATTAACCAAGTTAGGATAAAACTATATAAGGAGAAACCTAGTAAAAGCTAAACCTAGTTGAAGATAAAGCTAGTAAGAGATAAACCTTGTAAAAGATAAACCTAGTTGACGAAAAAGCTAGTAAGAGATAAACCTAGTAAAAGATAAACCTAGTTAAGGATAAATCTAGTAAGAGATAAACCTAGTAAAAGATAAACCTAGTTTAGGATAAATCTAGTAAGAGATAAACCTAGTAAAAGATAAACCTAGTTAAGGATAAATCTAGTGAGAGATAAACCTAGTAAAAGATAAACCTAGTTGAAGATAAAGCTAGTAAGAGATAAACCTTGTAAAAGATAAATTTAGTTGACGAAAAAGCTAGTAAGAGATAAACCTAGTAAAAGATAAACCTAGTTAAGGATAAATCTAGTAAGAGATAAACCTAGTAAAAGATAAACCTAGTTAAGGATAAATCTAGTAAGAGATAAACCTAGTAAAAGATAAACCTAGTTGAAGATAAAGCTAGTAAGAGATAAACCTTGTAAAAGATAAATTTAGTTGACGAAAAAGCTAGTAAGAGATAAACCTAGTAAAAGATAAACCTAGTTAAGGATAAATCTAGTAAGAGATAAACCTAGTAAAAGATAAACCTAGTTAAGGATAAATCTAGTAAGAGATAAACCTAGTAAAAGATAAACCTAGTTAAGGATAAATCTAGTGAGAGATAAACCTAGTAAAAGATAAACCTAGTTGAAGATAAAGCTAGTAAGAGATAAACCTTGTAAAAGATAAATTTAGTTGACGAAAAAGCTAGTAAGAGATAAACCTAGTAAAAGATAACCCTAGTTAAGATATCTAGTAAGAGAAAACCTAGTAAAAGATAAACGTAGTTGAAGATAAATCTAGTGAAGATAAACCTAGTAAAAGATAAACCTAGTTGAAGATAAAGCTAGTAAGAGATAAACCTAGTAAAAGATAAAACTAGTTAAGGATAAATCTAGTAAGAGATAAACCTAGTAAAAGATTAAACTAGTTGAAGATAAATCTAGTAAGACTTAAACCTAGTAAAAGATAAACCTAGTTAAGGATAAATCTAGTAAGAGATAAACCTAGTAAAAGATAAACCTAGTTAAAAATTGAAATAAATAATCAGACACTTCAAAAAAAATGTTCTTTATTTGCTCCACAACATAACCTTAAGCTCATCATTTCCATTCATTCATAACAAAATTCCCAAATTCCATTCATCAAACTCAAAAAAAATTTCTCCAAATACCTTCCCATAAACTCTTTAACTTTCGCTCATTCACAACTCCAAAATTATTAAAATGCTTATAATATGAAAAATTATGTGAATAAGTGCGGTTAGCCTCACAGACGAAAAAAGGTATTCATCATGCAAGAGATTAGAAAATAAAACCACAGTGAAATAATTAAATCAAAGTCATGGAAAATTCAAACTTGAAAGTTTTTCGTATCTACAAATTCTGAATGAATGATTTACTAAATCATGAAAATGTTCTTCCTCACTTTTTCCTTCAATTAATTAAAAGATACTTCCATTATAAATAAATTATTCAAAAACTACTTGAGAAGATGAATGGAGTGCAGTAGAATGTGAAGGTTATGAGAAAATTAGGAAGTTTTGGGTAAATAAGATAAGATAAATAAAATTCTCATTTGGAATTTAATTGAATTGTTGTGATTTTGTTCTTTAGTGTGTTGTGTGACTTAGTAAGACGCTTTTAAGGATGTGATTAAAGCAGTGTTTTCCTGCATGCTGTGTGGGACTTCAGTTTTGGTTTACCCCTAAGGTGTGCTTTGGTTCAAAGAGTTTGGACAACACTGGTTTAAAGTTAAGCTTCAAATCTTTAACCAACTTAATTTTTGAAATCAGGCTGATCTACCTCGATTAGAAGTTAGATAGCTCTTAAATTGCATCAATTGAAAAATTGAGATTTTTATAAATTCTTAAAGAATCTTTTCAAGTCTTCCATATCTTATTCCATATCCCAACCACCTCATAAATTCCCATTGCTGCCAACTTTAAAATAAACTTCCATTGGACTTAAAAAAAATATATTCCTGTAAAATATGATGACTCATTCTCCCCATTGAGATAGCAATACCTTTCAACCATAAAATTTCATTAAAAGTCTTTTAAGAAATTCTCGCTACTCCATATATTCTTCCTACTGCCAATGTTATCTACTTTATGCCTTAAAATTTATTCCATTTTCATCCCTTTCAGTCTATGCTTGTAGATTTTGTAGTTTGGGCTTTTTAGATAGATTTTTGTGGTCTTCAATAACTTTCAATTTTACATCACCTTTTTCCCCTTTTTCAGCATTTAATTTCCTCTCGTTTTTCACTGGTATCACTTTAATTCATTCAGATTATCAAAAAAAGACATACACACGAGATGAGAGAAGACGTAAAAAGTTACTAAAATATAATCTAGTTTAATATAAATTTTCATATTATTCTCTGTGAATATCATATAATATGATAATCTACTATATTATAGTTCTGTATTAGTATGAATGTGCAAAAGGCTGGGGGAGATGAGGAAAGAAAGGGCAGGTAGATAGACGAGTGAAGGCATGTGTTTTCATTATAACTAAAGCCAAAAATTATTTTTGACTGCTTTTCATCCTCCCACCAACAATATATACAGTTTCTCTCACTGTTGCTGCTTACGACTACTTCTTATTGCCAAAAAAATACTCGTATGTATGTAGATGTAGCATTCAGAGAAGTGAAAGAGAATTGAGATGATGATGATGATGATATAGGTCGTTCAAGAGAAAGCACATAAGAGAGATTATAATAAAAGGATTAAGCTGAAATGAATGAACAATTGAACTAAGCGATATTTAACATGTGAATCACTTGATTTTGGATTTTGAATTCAGGGTTGTGTGGCTTCAATTAAAGACGCAAGGAGAAAAACGGAGTTTTTGAATTCTTTTCTTACGAATCCCTCCCCTCAACTATTTCAAACCCCATTATCTGTGTCACAATATGTCAAAATTTGAATACTAATATGTCAAGTGACAGTCACAAACGGTATTGGAAACTAGTTATTGAGTCGAACCAAGGCGGTTTTCTTCTCAAAAAACCCTAGCCAATTAAAGAAATTTTTCAAAAAAAGAGGGGGGAGGTGGCTTCAAAACCTACTTCTGGCTACGTCTCTGTATCAAATCACTTCCCCCTTAATAAATGAACATCATAAATATACGATATTTAAGAAAAAACAGTGAGCTATAGTGGATCGGTGGCTGAATAGTTTAGTACTTCGGTACCTAATTATTACAATACCGACACAGCGATCATGGGTTCGAGACTGGGTATGAGAAATTTTTCACTTGTCCTTTTTCGAATCATATGTACTGAAAATGAGGTTCACAGCTTTCATTTCAAGGCTACAGGCAGAAATGTCAGCAAAGGAGTGGTCAGATTCCACTATAAATTGTAGGTGTAGGTTTGAGTGCAGTGGTTTGGTGCATCTTCACTCGTTAAACTCTCATTAGCTGCGAAACGCGCCTCTGAATCATAATTGATCTGAATAGGATATTCAAGAACAAAAACGACAGCCCCCCAAAAATGCCCGAAAAATTGGCATTGAAACTTCCCTAACCCCATAGTTACGTCCCCGCATTATTGCATGAATAACCCTTTTAATAAAATCATTATCTTACATAAATAAGTCTGACTAATCATAAAAATTGAAGCATCAATAGATAGCCTTTATTGAAATCTTTATCAACATGTTATAATTGGTTGTTACATATTAGCTTTACAACTATGTTCATTAGCAGCACTAATTTAGCAATGATTTTTATTATTTTTTAACACATTGAACAAAACTTTACTTTGTTGAATATTCTTCTGTCTTTTTTCAGTTATTGTAAACTCCAATATTATTGTTGCATCTTGGACATTTGTGTTTTTGAGCTTGACAGCTTTTCATGCAATATGGTATAAGACAACATCCACAAGCAAATCCACAACAAAACAGACAAAGACACCATAAATGAGTTTTTCTAGTACAAAAATTAGAAACTGACGTTCGAACGCGTGCATTACAACTTGGACATGTTATTACGACAGGACTTGGTCCAAAAGCAGGTGATGACTGCATAATTATGTTTGGAGATTGTTCTGTTAAAAATACAATATGAGAATTAAATCAATTGACATGTAAAGAATACTTACGCGATGTAATATGTGGGTATAGAGATGGATGCTGTATTTGAGCGGGCTGTAGAGTTATTATATTTATAAATTCATCGCTCATATTATATGCTAAAATGCCAAAATTAAGCAGAAAAAAAATTACAAGTTTATTCAGCAAAATCAACTTAAAACTGAATTCTTTGATCCGATGAACATTTATTTTATTAATATTCTTATCAAGTCATCAATTAATGACGTCCCCTTCTCTAAACCCCATACTTTTTACTGCCACATCTAAGACTTTTCATAAGAGCACTGCGGAGCAATATTTGAGAACTTTTCGTTTAAACCAGTGTTGTCCAAATTGTGTGCGATAGAATTTTTTTAAAATTACCATGAACCGCACGCCGGATGCGTAGTTCATCATCAAAGTGGTGCTGAGGCTCAAAAAATTTGGACAACACTAGTTTAAAGAGTCACACTGTTCTGAATGAGTTCCGAGCCTCCTGATCGCATTCGACGTCATTAAAACACGACCCATTTATGTGTAATTTAACAAAATAAGGGGTTTTTATTGATAATATTTATACTGGATTAGGGATCATTCAAAAATGACGTCAAACTAAATTTTAGGGTCACTTCCATAAAAATATTTTTTTGGATTGGAATGTTTTAACAGATGTGGCAGTGGAGAGGGGGGGGGGGGGGGAGGGGTGTTAAGAGTTAAACTTTTGATAGGTGTCATTTGTGATGACTCCATAAATTTTGGCCTGTCAAATTTTTAGCAGGAAATGGAATGATATCTTGTGCAAACAAGGCTTATCTATTATTTATCATGACTGCATTTCATAAAAGTTTTTGTATAAATCATAATTTTTGCTTTACTTAAATATGAAAACACACATAAGTGTTTTTTAGGGCTTATAATCTCACTTAGTATATCGCCAACATTTTTAAGCAAATATATATAACTGCTTATCATCTTTGATAGACACCAATAGCTAATTCGCAATTCGGACAAATATGCTTTTGCGATTGACAGCTCTTCATGAAATAAGGAATAATGCAGCAACCCAATCCACAAGAAAGAATGCAAATAAAAAGGCACATAAAATGAGTTCCACACGATGGAACATTAGAAATTGCTGTTTTGATGCTTGCATGACATCTTGGACATGTCATTATGATTGGATCGGGTCCAAGAGCTATGGATTGTTGCATAATGACATTTTGAGAATGATCTGTGAATATGCAATTGAAAAAAATAACAAGGGGGATACAACATTATGGAAAAATTAAATTTTTTCCCAAGCATGTTGTTTTCCCCTTGAAAAATAATCACAAAAAAATTTATTAAACATTTACGTGACGTAATTTGTGTGTTTATCAATGGCTGTGCAAATGGAACAGATTGTTGTAATAATGGATTATAACTCTGTGGATTCATCTTTGATTTTTGCTGTCCAAAAATAAGCTCCAGTTCAACTTAGAAGTTAGCTTGTGAAAATTCAAATTAAAACTAAGAATTGTTTGCAAAAACTTTATATTAATTCATCTCAGCTCATTTTTAATAGTGATTAATGCGAAATCAGGGGGTAAATAGCTTTGTGTAAAATAAAAGTTTTGAAAAATTTAAACGGAAATTTTGTTGCATTTAATTTTGATAAGCGCACCGATTTTGGTTTTCGACACGTTTGCTCTCTGGATGTTGTTGCACTTTAACAAAACAATTGTTTTCTCTTGAGGCTATTATCCCCCTATGTATTTAATAATACTTGGATTTTTTTTGGTATGATTTATTAAGTTTTTTTATTATATTTTAATTTTAAGATTTTTGAAACAACAAAAAATATTTATAAAGCAGATGATTCCTGACTGAATAGTTGTTGAAAATTAAAAATGTATTAGATCGTTCCAGATGCGACCTGTCTACATAAATTGCTGAACGTTTCCGATTTATTTTGTTCCAATGACTTTTCAAGTTTGATTTTATAACAAATCCTTCCTTCAATTTCTATAAATTCCAATGACACTTCGACATAATGGACAAGTATGTTTCTGTGCCTGGAAACTCTTCGTACAATATGGAATTAAGCAGCATCCACAAACGCATCCAAGAATTGCCAGTAAAAGAGCCATTGAATGAGTTCTCATTGTTGTCATATCTGCAACCTCTGTTACGATTCTTGCACGGCAGTTGGGACATGTTATTCCAACTGGATCAGGACCCAAAACTGGGGCTTGCTGAATGAAAACTTGTTGTGGCTGCGCTGTTTAAAGGAAGTTTAGAAAATTTTATTTAAATGTTATGTTGTTAATAAATGACGTCGATCAAAAATGGAATTTTAAGATCCACGCACATCCTGTGGCACAAAAATTTTATACAGAAATAATTGTTCAGTGTCAGTAGTGTCCAACCTTTTTTGTGTCATGGCACCATTGATGGTAAGTCATTCCCAAAACCGTACCTAGCACACGGTTCGAGGGATTTTCTCATTTTTTTCACGGCACACTAGTGTATCCCGACACAAAGGTTGTCCATCACTGTTCTATGTGGAAGAATCGTACACCGATACACCCCAAAAGCTAGACATCATTTATGATCGACTTTTAAACTAAAACTTACGTTGATAATATTGAGGTGGTTGTGGGTTCATAGGTGCCGCATTCATTTGAATTGGTACTGTCGGTGAACTGTATACAGGATGTTCAGACATGTTGACTTTCTCATTATTCATTTTGGTTATTTAAAAATATAATAATTTTTGCACTGGGCTCAAGTTGTTCTTTAGAAATGTGATTGAAAACTGAGTTAAATATGTTGTTGATAATTATTTTTATATGCTCTGGATGTTATATGTGTAGACTAAGATTCAGTATTGATATGAATAAGAACACAACGATGGAATTTCCGAATTTTTCGTAATCTTTGTTTGTGCCAATTTTTTTGTTTCTATTTAAAATTATAATACTTTTGATAGAAAACAACTTTTGAGACAATTTTGGGAACTGAAAATAATATTTCTGCCACTCTAAGATTCAAAATTAACATTGAATAAATGAGTTAGTCTGATTTTTCAACAAAGAGAAGTCCTGATTTTTTATGATTTGCTTTACATTTTGATCAAATCAAATAATTATTTAATTATTGTAAATTCCAATCATAGATCGACAAACTGGACAAGTATGTTTCTGTGCCAGACAACTCTTAGTACAATATGGGATACAGCAACATCCACAGAAACATCCAAGGACTGCAAGTAAAACAGCAAAGCTATGCGTTTTCATTGTCGTCATATCATCAACTAATGTCACGACTCTTGAACGACAATTTGGACATGTTATTCCAACTGGATCTGGTCCTAAGACTGTAGGTTGTTCAAGGATAATTTGTTGAGTTGTCGCTTTTGCAAAATGTTTAAATTAATTTTTATTTTCAATTAAATTTCAATTAAAAGTCTACTTACGTTGAAAATGTTGAAGCTGTTGAGGTGGTGGTGCCATTGGTGCTATATAAGCAGGTGGTTGAGACATCATGTTAGTTTTATGACTGTCCATATATTTTTTATTTTTTGTTAAATAAATTATTCGATTGAAATTCAAGTTAATCCTCAAGAGTGAAATCGTAAACTGGATTAAATTGAAGCTTACAAATTGTGATTTGCAATATTTTTGTATTAGATTCTATATTTTTTTTTTAAAAAAGAATTGTATTACATTAGAGTAATACATAAAAGCAAATTTTAAAAGCTATATAGGCACAGTAGTTAAAGACAAGAAAAGGCAATTGAGTTTGATTTTATAAGAAAAATACTATTTTAATTATTATAAATCCCAATCATACTTTTACAACTTGGACAAGTATGTTTCTGTGCCTGGGAACACTTTGTACAATATGGAATACAGCAGCATCCGCAAAATCCACACAGGAGTGCAAGTACAATAGCCATTGTATGAGTTTTTGCTGTCGACATGTTAGTAACTAATGTTGTGATTCTTAAATGACAATTTGGACACGTCATTCCAACTGGATCAGGTCCTAAGGCCGGAGATTGTTAAATAAAAGCTTGTTGAGGTTGTGCTGCACCAAAATCTAGCGATTCAGACATCATATTGTTATTCTGATTATTCATGATTAATTCGGAGTTTCTTTAAGATTGAAGTTAGACCTTAGATGTGTAATTAAGAACAAACTTAAAAAGATGTTAAAAAATAAGATTTATAGGTTTCTTGTATTAGACTGTAATGAAGCTATTAAAATTATTGACGTCATAGACGATCTCAACTTAATTAAATCGACTAAGGGACCGTTCACTTATGACGTCCAGGGGGGGGGGGGATCAGCAAGAAAAGAACAATAGAAATTCCAGGAAATCCATTGTTCTTTTTTGAAAAGTGACCGTTAATTTCGGACGTCATAAGTGAACGACCCCTAATTGTCAATTCATATTTGCGATTAGTCGATTTTATTAAATTAAGATCGTATATGACGTCAAAAATTTTAATAGCGTCATTTCATCCAAAATCACCCAACGAGTACTAAATACTCACAAATTTGATAAGAATTGATAACATTTAATACTGTCCATATTTCACAAACACACATTTTAAATACAAATCTGTATGCCTGTATTGACACATGCTTCTGATTGTGACAGCACAACACAAGCTTCATATGAAAGAATTCACGCGATAATGCCAAAAAAATATTTTTCATTCAGTATTGTACATAAAGCCATATCAAGTCGTACGCTCAGAACACAAAAAAAAAATTATGAAGAGTGAAATATCATTTCGCGTTGCAAGTGAATCTGAAAATGACAAAGTGCTTGAATTTCTGCGTGAACATTTCTTCCCCGAAGAGCCAATAAACCGAGCTTATCCTAGTCAGGATGACAGCATGGAAGAAGAATTTCTGCTTTCATTATTACCCGACAGCAATGTTATAGTGGCTATTGATGCCACTAATAAAAATGACGAAATTGCCGGACTAGCATGTATTGGAGAAATCACAAAAAATTACTCAAACGAGTCGTGGGATGAGTCAGAACAGACGACAAACATAAAATGGCGTGATATTTTAAAATTCATGTCTCACATTGAGGCAAAATCGAATGTCTGTGAGCGATATGGTGTTGAGAAAGCCGTTCATCTGCATGGTGTGACTGTTAATAAAAATTATCGTGGAAAGTCTTTAGGCAAAAGGCTCTTCGAGGAATGCTTTCATATTGCGAAAATGCGTGGCTATACGCTCGTCAGTGCTGATTGCACTTCAATTTATTCCGTCCACATAGCACAATCAACTGGCATGGAGTTTGTATCGATGGTGACATATGATGAATATCATGAAAAAATTGGATATAAACTCTTTAATCCAATCCATCCACATGTTGACGTTAAATCATTTGTGAAGAAATTGTAAAGTATTGGAGACGAAAATTCAATTTTAAAAAAAGACTGAACAATTAAGAAGAGGTAGCAACAGAGAAATACAGAATAAAATGTCCATATAACTTATAATAGTTGCTTGATTATGACTAAAGCTGATAAGATAAGACGTTATCGTGGAATTTGGGGAAACCGTCTGGTAGATAATATAAACCATGGCGTGGACTATCACAAACATCATATTTATCCCACATATCCCAAAAATATTCAAAAAATTCCTGAGCATGTATGCACGATAAAAAAGATATCCCAACGAATCCTTAGTGTATTGGACGTGTTTTTTCAGGATATGATGGAATATCTCAATTCTAATGCATACAGGTTCAGGGATTATTTTGAATATTTTTGGGATATATGGGATAAATGGGATATTCGGGATAGTTTCCACGCCTTGATATAAACTTTTAGTTGCAAAAATTCTGAGAATCAACAGTATAAACAGCAACAATGAAAAATACCTTAAAGATTTAATATAATTCAATTAAGTTTTAAAAAATAAGCCATTGTTTTTATTTGTGTTAGCATTCAGTTCAATTTTTAAACATTAATTGATGTCAAGATAAGAAATTGATAAAAGGTCAAAGGTAAAGCATGGAGAGGGCTTCTTTATTGTATCACACTCTTTAAAAGTTCATAGTGGAACAGTTTATAGTGGAATCCGAACCACTTGCAAGCTTTGGATATTGCAAAGATACTAGAACGTCTAAAGACCTGATATACCCTGCAATGGATCAAGTCTCAATTTGTGTGCGCAAGATGCTGTAATTAAATCATCCAAATGCTAGTATATCCTAGTATACCTAGCAAAGGAAACACGTTATGTGCCGAAGAACTCAAAACTACACCCAACACACGAACCGAGCTTCGTAACTAGAGCGGTGTTATGGAAAAAAAGCTTCTTAAACTTAAGATGGTCTGGGATTGAACCTAGAACATTTGGCACGTAAGGCTTCCACTGATGCCATTTCGCCGCTAAAGAAATTGATAAAGTTAAGTCGAAACTTATTCAAGTTCATGACTGTCGTTGATGACGAATAAACTAGATTTTCAAACACAAAGTCCTCAACAATCCAAAACTATATCAGTAAAATGTCGAAACAAATCTACAAAACACTATATCCTCAATTTATAGTCACAGAAATTGCTTCCTCTAATTAAAATCATTAATTTATGTGGAGTCATTTTATTGCAACAAATAGAAGAAATAGAAGTGATTTAAAAAGAAGAAAAATTATCTTCTTGGCGTCCAAAAAGTAGTTTTTAAATGGTCCATTTATTATTGTCTTCATCTCCTTCCCATTTATCTTTATATGAACAATTTTTTATGTGTATATCTGTTACAATTAATTATTACTGACAGCATATAGCATTTTTTTTTCATTGTGCTGGCCGAAAGACTATAAAAATTATAAACGGCACACTTTCACACATCTAATTACAAGTGGCATTACATACCGGACAATTTATTGATGACGCAACGATAATTTAAGATTTTATTTCATTCTCGGTCAATTGCTACAGATGCAAAAGGTACAGTATGCCAAAAATGCTTGTTGTATGTCGCAAATTGAGAAAGAGATTTAAATTACAAATTGAATTTATTACTATAGCATCTTAAATTATCTCATTGACAATGATCATTAAGCCGCAACATTTCGACCCTTACACATTTCCACCAGGTCAAGTCAATTGAATGGAGAGGAAATTAACAATGGAGGAGTAATGGTTAATCAGGAGCCATAACCGTGGCATAGGCCAAAAAGTCAATCAAGGCAATAAACCATTTCGAATTTAATTATTTTATATGATTCTCCGTTTGCCACAGCTCATTTTCATTTTATCCTATAAATTGTCCATTCTCACTCCACAATCCATCCAATCATTTTCACCTTTTACTCTCACACTTAATGCTCTTTAATTTGGAAAAACATATTTTATGTGGCTATTATCATTGTTGGCGAAATTGATGGGCATTTAACCAAATTACTTCGTTTCCAAATTAATATTGCTTCTTTTTTCGAACCCTCTGCTCCTCTCCCTCATTCATTGATTCACTGTCTGCTATTAATGGCCAATGATGGTCAAAAAAATGTATATTAAGGATGAGAGATCAATAATAATAATAAAGCTTACCACTTGCCACCTATATAATATTGATGACGCTCAATAGTCATTTGCACTCAACATCGTTTTTATGCTCATGTTTATGTATACATTCGTGGTGAAGTTTGATCACGGGAAATATCAATAATGATCAAAATTGATGAAACTTGTGGAGATTATCTTGCTAAGCCGCTTAAAAGTTATTAAATCTTATTGCTTATGATGTGACATAAGCCTCGCGAAATGTTTGTGATTTTAATTAATTTTTTCGTTTGCTATTTAATCAATTTTTTAGGTGATTTTGTCTGGAAATTCATTGGGTGATGAAGTATTGAGAGATTCTTTTTTGGATTGAAAATTCTATTGATGAAGGCGTAGCGACGGGAGGAATTCTAAAGAATAAACCCATACCATGACTAGATATTTCATATATTTATGGAATAAACATCAACAAATTAATGAAGAAAGCCAAAAAGGGGAGGGGGGTATTGACAGGGTTGGTATCAGGTGGGGTTAGATTTATAAAGGTTTATATTAATTTATAAATTTTTTGTTGGATTGAGGGGGTCCGAGCTTGAGGGGTTTGTGAATACATCAGAAGTTTTGTGAAGCCATTTGTAAAGTTTAACGGTCACTCTTGAATAGTCTAGTAATTTAATATGGAGATTGCAAAAGATTTAACTCTATCTTCACACCAAGTTGGTTCTTAGCAGCTGATTCTTAGGAGCATAGACAGAAATTTAAAAAGGTGGAAAAAAACTAAACAAAATGAAATACCCCCCCCCCCCCCAACTTCTGTTTTATTAAAAATCAGATTTTATCTTACACTTGAATCTTTATAATTTTGGCTATTCATGTTAATGATTAAATACGATCTCATAGTTTGACTCCTTCCTCAGATTTAATAAGTATCCTAATAAATCTAGTATATCATAACTGGTAAAATGGCATCAGTAGCCTAAATGGTTGAGCGTTGACTTTCTGTGCCAAAATTCTTGGGTTCAATTCCAGTCCATGTCTAATTTTTGAAGCTTTTTTTTCATTTCACCGTTCTAGTTACGAAGCTCGGTTCGTGTGTTGGATGGAGCATTGATGTCTTTGGCACAGAATGTGCCTCCTTTGCTAAGACAAGGATATACTAGCATCTGGATCTTTCTTACGGCATCTTGCGCACACGAATTGTGACTAGGTTCATTGCAGGGTACATCAGGTCTTATGACGTACTCGTGTCTTTGCAATGTGCAAAGCTTGCAAGTGGTTCGGATCCCACTATAAACTGTAGGTCTAAAGGGTGTGGTACAATAGATACTATTCTAATTTGAATCGCAGTGCCTCTAGCTGAAAGGCTGGGACCTTCACACATTATTAGTATATCATCAAATCAATACTTCTCTTAAGATCCCTAAAAAGCCATTAATAGATAGCTAGCTACATAGCTAGAAGAAAACAATTTAATTAATAAACAAAAAATTGAACTTCGTATCTCAATTAAATATGACATGAACAAGCAAAAATAAAAATGATCTAAAAGTTATTAAATATCCCCCCAGAATCGTCTCAATCTCTTTGATTTTTATTGCATCGAAAAACGAACGAAAACGGAATTAGAAAAAAAAAACATAAAAAAGAACTTCTATTCGTAAAAATTTCCATATTTTTATATCACTTTAATTTGCTCTTCATCTATTGGAATATTCCTCTAGAATCACAATGTATATTGCTTACATCAGCATTTAATTGCTAAAAGCTCTCATTCATTCATTCATTCATTTACTCATATTTCGATATTGAGATATCATACAGATTTCATTTCTATTATTTTTTTTTGCAACATGTACATATAATTTGATTGTGAAATAAAAGAATGAAGCGAATATGAATGAAATGTGGAAATAGGAAAAGAAGAATTTATATTTTTATTTCATTAAAATTGCAAGCGTTTGCAATTAATTTGCTTTTAATGAAATTGGTTTTTACCCGCAATCACTTTTCTGTGACTTTATCGTCTTTTGTTTTCTCTCTCGTATGTGCCATGCCATATGTCCAGTAATTTTCATTGTTTTTTTTTTAATTCCTTTATTCCATCTTCTAACCGCATCACATCACACCATTTGAAACTGAATCAAAATTTAAATAATTATACGGGAAAAATATGCAAGCTGTTCGAGTTAGGGGGTTCGTTAATTGATGAGGTTACGTAATATGTTGTCAGTTACGTAAAATGTCTCCGTACCCAGCTTGTTATTCTAATTTTGCAATTTGTATGAAATTGTTGATTTTCTTACTTTCTTCAATTTATCTTCGTCGACTTCAAGATCTGACTTGTACCTGCTTATACTTCTTCTCTAAGGTTCCTCATTGGAGTGGATTGAGATTCGAAATTCACCGAATCCCAGGGGCGAAGCTAGGAATTTGAATGGGGGACAAAAAAAAGTTTTTGTATCGGGGTAAGGTGAATTTATGGGGAGGGGGTGTATTTTCAGATTTTTTCATAGAAGCTCTATAAAAATTTAGAAAACTTCTATTGATGTAATGAGGGATTTGTTTTTTGAAATTCAAATTTTCTAACTGTCAAAATATATTTGAAATTATCCCACTTAAAGTTGGCTACATTGGCTGTATTGAAATCAAAAAATCATTAATTATAGTAAATTCCGATGGTTTTGAGATTTTTAACTATTCGTCGCCGGAATAACTCGATTGATCACAGCTAACGCAAAAAACTAGAACTCTCTACGATGTCTAGATCAAAAGTTTTTGCAGGCAGCCGAGCAAACGAACAAAGCGTATTATTAAGCTACCTTTTCGAAACAAGATTCAAAAATGCGCTAAAGAGAGTATTTTATACTTCCAGGACCGGCTCCTATGTTG